AGGCTTCAACAGAAAAAGACAGCAACGCTGCTATTAACAATAACCAGGCAGGCCAAACAATAATGGAGGCCGCCGTTACTTAAGGGAAACCACCGCTCAGTTAAGGACTACTCACAAAGAGCCACGCACAGTGGGGCTGGTCACACACAGCAGGCCTTTTCCACACCTAGACCAGACTCACACACTGACCAGCACAGAGGAAATCCACCAGAAGCCTCTCCCACCTCCACACTGCTCTTCTCCAGCTTATATCACCTCTGAGGGTAATTGGTGGTAAACGAGGGCAGATGAGCAGCAGGTGTGCCCTAAAGGAGAAGGCAGGGGCAGAGAGAGACAAGGGGAGGGGCAATAAAGAAGGAGGAGGGGAGGGTCAGGCAGCTAGAAGGCCTTACAGCAACACTTCTGACGCTTCTTCGCTAGGTCATGGCAAAAGGCATGCTGGTTAGCCAGAGGTGCAGGTTTGAATGTTTGTGTCGTACACAGTGTGTCACACTGCAGGTCATCTGGACCCGAAAGACGGTCAACAGGTGGCAGATTACAATTAGTTGATCTCTGACAGTGACCAAATGACACCACTGAGCAATTATGCTCCAATTGTTGCCTAGGACTGGCAACTTTGTCTGTTTGTGAACCACAGTTCACTCTTTTGAAAGCAGATTGATTTTGCTTTGAGTTTGCTTTCAAACAGTGAGCAACCAGGTGGCCAGGTTTGTGGCAGAAGAAACAGAGCTTTGTTTTGGCTCTTGAAACCACACCTGTATCAGCTTTGCTAGCTGGTACACTCCTAGCCCTTGAGACTGTCTGTTTCTGTTTGTAGGTCTTACAATTTGCTACTAAATGGCCAGACTTGAAACAAACACTTTGGTTTTTCCTTGGGACGGGACACAGGTAACTCGCTCCTTGGGTACTGCACAGCTGGCACATTGCTAACCTTCACTGAGGCATCGCGTCGCTCGTGCTTAATAACACTAGTTTTATGGATGAGGGCAAACTCATCAGCCAGTGTTGCAGCCTGCTGTAATGAGGACACCTTATGTTCACTGAGGTATACTGCGATGCGCTCGGAGATGCAGTTCTTAAACCACCGATCAAAAAGCACACTTTTCTTCCTTGCAAAATCTCGGTAGGATTGACCCTGTCCCCTTCTTAATCCCCGGAAACGCTGCCTATAAGCTTCTGGGACTAGCTCATAAGCTAGCAGGATGGCACTTTTCAGCTTGTCATAATTCAGACTGTCCTGAGCTGACAATGAGGAACAAACTTCCTGAGCCTTACCTACCAGCTTACATCGTAGCAAAATAGCCCACGAATCCCGTGGCCAGTGCAAGGCTGTGGCTATATGCTGAAAGAACTCAAAATAACTGTCAACCTCAGTGTCGCGAAACACTGGAACCAGACGAATGTTTTTCCCCCACATCAAATGGTGTGTCTGCCTGCCGAATGGAGGCAGTCGGAGAAAGGGAAGCCTGCTGGAGTTCCAACTGTCGCAACTTAACAGCTGTCTCCGCCTCCACCTTTTTCAATTCAACCTCCTTGACTCTGGCAAGCTCTGCGTCTAAACGCTTAAGCTCCAACTCCTCCTTTAGCTGGAACTCCCTCACGATCCTCCCGTTCCAACTGAAGACGAGCCAGGCGGACACGTAGCCTAGCATCGTGCTTTGAACCTACAGATGACTCTATGGAGAGTGGTTCAAAGTGAGGCAGTGTCATTGGCTTGTCCTCAGGCAGCCCCTGAACAACAGGCGTAGACACTGATGGAGCTACACCTTGAGCTGGCACCTGCAGAACAGGCTGAGACGTTACACCATGCTCAGGTAGACTGGCAGACACTGGCAGGGCCACCATCCCTTTCTCCACCAAGCCAGACACAAGAGCAGCCTTCAGCTCAGCCTTACGCAGAGCTGTGGAGACAGAAATGCCATAAAATGATGCCACCTCATGCAAATCCCTCTTCCTATAGGTGTCCAGTTGGACAAGCGAAGGGTTTGCTAGAAACAGTAATATCAAAGGTAGCCATTAAAACTAAAACCACCTTAGGCTAATAGTAACAAAGAAGCACCACCTCCAATACACAAATGAAAAACAGG